AGGCAGTACTGCGTTTCGCCCACTGTGGATCGCAGACTACACTCCAGACTACGCATTCACGGTCTCGACTTACGACGTTTCATAGACACGACGCTAGAAATCATGTACAATATTTGCAGTTTGTCATCCATGTGTTCCTTTAGCCCTAGTTATGCTTTCATGTTCGTCATAGATGTGTCTTGTTGTTTTAGATCATGGCTTTGATACATGTATACATACTGCATTAGCATACGTGAGTGACCGGTGGGTATGTATGTATGTTCATGTGCTGTATTTAAGTGTGTTCCGACTTTGGTCAAAATTCGACACCATCATAGGAACGGATCTCCGTCGTAAGTCGAGTACTCCTGTAAATGTATGTAAACATATACCCTTATATACATATAGATAGACAGATCGATAAATAGATAGATGTATTTGGTCTTATCTGTAAAAGTGTAATGCAAAACAATTATATAAATTTCTTTTCTTTTATTTTATAAATAATTAGAAATGCAATATGAAAAATGTATGTAAAATAGTTTACATAATCACATAAAACAATGATGAAACAAGTACATCAACATCGAATGCTTCTATGAGAGCCGGACGGACGAGGCAGCTGCTCCGACACCTTCCCGCTGCGGCGCTGGAGCGTCGGGGCGGGACAGTCCAAGCCGATGCTCCGGCTCGGCAGGTGCAGGTCCCATGGAAACAGGTGTTGATGGGGAGGGACCCGGCCTTCCACCTCCTCAGCCTGAAGTAGTATAAGAGACATCAGTGAAGTTATGAAAGATGATCAGCGATAGAGAGAGTGTTGTGCTGCATTATATTAATTAATCAAAATATGTAAACAAATGGAAGGCACGGCAATGTACAATTTTTAAAAAATGGTGCAGTCACTCAGTTTTTCATGTGTGAAAATAAATGAAAAGAAACAGAAATTATGTAATACCAATAATAAATACAATAATTAGAGATGGCGACGATAATCTCAGTAATATAACGAATGTACCCTCTAACTCACCTCCTCCATCTGCCAGCCTACGTTTTCTGCGCCTTCTGGTTCTGCTCCTGGATGCGGCGCTTTTCTTCGGCTCGTTTTTGCTTTTGCCTTTCTCTCTCCTTCATCCGCTCTTCATACTGAAATCATCAAAGAGAAATTGGTCTCTTAGGATAATTTTAGCAACATAAACTTCTAAAGATGATGCAGAAACTATCAGATCTATTCATACAAATGTAAAAAAAAAAAAAAAAAAAAAAGTCGAGTCAATAATACAAACGAGAAGAATTGTAAAAATATATATAAATTAAAAACTCGTACTTACAGCCCTGCCAGCAATCCTGTCTTCCTTCTGCGCTCCTTGAGCCTGTAATAAAAACAAAAGTGCGAAATAATAAAATTGAGCTAAATTTATGTATTACAAGAATAATCAAAGAAGCCTCCTTAACTGTAATCTATGCAAAATATTGCTAGTGACAGTTTTGTACATTGCAATTTACATATATGTGTGTGTGTGTTCGTGTGACTGAGATGATACTCACTAGTTCCATATGTATTGATATAGTTTATTGTTTACTATTTTTTTTATAGACACTAGGTTATTGAGAAAGTTTCTTATCAATATTTCCCCCAAGAGAGAGAGAGGGAGAGGAGAGAGTGCAACAGTAGTAGCAGAAGGATTATTAGTATTATTATTATTTTAGTAGTTGTAGTAGTTGTGGAAGTAGTGGTAGTAATAGTAGTAGTAGTAATAGTAATAGTAGTAGTTGTTGTTGTAGTAGTAGCAGCAGCAGCAGTAGCAGCAGAGGCATCAGCAGCGAGTGGTGGCAGTCGTGGTGGTAGCAGGACGTATTCAAAAATATGCAAAACGCTGCTTGTGTTGAAATGGAATAAATCTTATGAATTCTTAAAAAGTATACTTAAGAAATGAAGGAAAGGAAGAAGTGGGATGGAGAGGAAGGGAAGAAGAAGGAGAGAGAGAGAGGCAGAGACAGAGACAGAGACAGGAGACAGAGGGAGAGAGAAAAAAAAATAGTTTATTCTATTTGTGGCAGTGGATAATCTTTGGTGTCTGTGGATAATCTTTGACGGAGAGAGAGACACAGAGAAGAGGGAGGGAGAGGAAAGGAGGTAAAGATAGGAAGGAAGACAAGAAGAGGGAAGGTAGGGCGTGTGAGGGAAGGAAGGAGGGAGATAAAGAGAGAAGAAAAGGGATGAATGAAGGGAAGGAGAGAGAGAAAAAGAGAAAGAGAAACTAAGAGAGAGAGAAAGAGAGAGAGGAGGTAAAGAGTGTGAGGGAGGTAGAGAGAGGGGAGAAGGGCGGAGGGGAGCGGGGAGAGCAAGGAGCGAGAGAGGAAGGGAGGTTAAAAGTGTGAGGAAGGTAGAGAGGGGGAGGGGGAGGGGGAGAGGGGAAAGCAAGGAGAGAGAGAGAGAGAACGACCACACACACACACACAGATATATATATATATATATATATGAGTGAGAGAGAGAAGGGGAAGGAGGAAGGGAGAGAGG